CCACTTGAACCCCTAGGTCCAACTTCAAAAGAAGGGACTCACACTCAACAATCTCCGGAGCAGGGCTCCTGCAAGGAGCTAATGATCCTCCGATAATAATTGCCACTCCCCCACCCCTTCCTTGATGTCATGGTTGGTGGAGCACCTGAAACCCTTCCGGGTACATTTCGGAGAGGGGGACTCCTCCTCATGGCTCAGCCAGGTCTCAGTAATATATGCCAGGTCTGCCCCCAAGTATTAAGTCCCGGACGAGGGGAGCTTTATAAATCACAGACCTGGCATTTAGCAACAGCAACCTGAGACCAGGGCCCTGGCTTCTCCTGCCACCTGGTCCTTGAGTTGAGCTTACAGGGCCGGAACGAGGGATCGCTGTGACGTAGCAAGCCCTCCTTCCCCGGTAATGGCTAGCCGTGTAGCCCCCGTCGTACCTTAGGTGGGTTCATTCATCCAGCAATCACCCCATACACTCTCCATACACAAAAAATTGCGCAGATCTTGACAAAAAATACCACTCAAGTGGAATTGTGCAGAAATTGCGGTCGGAAACCAATGATAATAAAAAGGAGGGAGAGTTCCACAGTCCCTCTCCCTCTTGTAGGTCCGGAGATGCAAGGAAGGGGGGGGGGGGCAAAGTTCCCTATCAAAACTTAGTCAACCCCTTAATTAAATTAAATAATACAAGTGCTGGTGATTTTAGAGGTTCTCGTGGCTTATCTGATGAACTGTATATGGTTTATCTAGTTTTTTTCTTATGAATTGCAAAGAAATATTTTTAGGATTCAAAGAGTCGGATTCCCACCTGTTTAAAAGTGGCTTCCACAAGGTTGGCAGGAAACATATTCCTGAAAAGACAAAGAAAACTAGTCAAGGGAATAAATAGAATTTTGAACACAAAGTTTTGCGAGCTACAAATAAGCTGTCATTTATAATATAAAACATTATGTGGCTAAAAAAATAACTTTAGTTTCTTCATGGTAAGTGATTTTCCTATTTTTCCTCTTGTAGAACTTGGGGGAAATTGGAACAATGTGATATTCTGTTAATGTAAGGTTTTTTAAATTAATATTTCTAAACATTTATAATAAACGCTATGCAAACATCCTGGCATAAAAAGATGGGAGCTTGAAAACCGTCTGATTCAATTCTTCTATGCCACAATAGTAATCTCTAAGGTTATCTCGCAACAATGCACCTGTAATTATTTAGAAATTTACTCAAGACTTGTCATTACAGGCTAGTACTGTATGTGCCAGCAGATTTGCTTAGTTTGGTTCAATCAAGCATGATCTGTACAGATGGATAAAGAGACAGATTGCACCAAACATCAAATAAATCCAAACAATTAACAGCATACATGAATCTGGCCATACATTTTTCTCACACTTTCAATTAAAGTTTAAATTGTGAATCAGCATGTAATGAGAAAGACATTTTTCCAGAAAAAAGGTTGTAATTTTGAGTAGTGGAAATGTGATTATATTGAAATAAATGTTTCATTTTTATGAAAGGTTTTTAGTTTTCCCCATATTACTGTATTGCCTAAAAAAAAAACATGCTTAGGGCACATGTATCTTCAATTTCCCGAAGAGATCTAAAATTATTTCCTTTCAATTGTCTTTTACTGTTCCAAGAGATCCTGACTCCTCCATACAATCAAATCATCTGGTGTCATAGATTCTATCCATGTACATTAGGAATTTCATTAATTCTGTTTATGATGTGATTTGGATGAAAGGTGCTGCAGACATGCAAAGGATTACTTTGCTGATTAAATGATAGATTAGCAGTTTATGATGGATAATTAATCTGGAGCAACTGTTGGAGGGGGTTGCATTCAGATTGAACAGATACTAGGTATGTGTGTCTTAGCAACCTTTGAACTTGTGCCTCACTTCCAGCTGCACTGACATGCAATTAGGATTATATGGAAGGAGAAACATCTTTTAGATGGTCATTAGTGATCTAATGTCAAAAAAAGTTTTAAAGATTCTAGCTTGTTGTTTTTATTATTTTTCCTTTTGCAGGAATTAGGACTGTGCCTTTTAATAGATACTAAAAGAAACCAACTCTAAATGTTCTTTGGAAGGACAGATACTGAAGCTGATGCTCAAATACTTTGGTCACCAAATATGAGGAGAGGACCCATTGGAAAAGACCCTGATGTTGGAAAGATTGAAGGTTAAAGGAGAAGGGGATGGCAGAGGAGGAGATGATTAGATTAGTGTCATCAACATAATGAACATGAATTTGGGCAAAATCTGAGAGATAGTAGAGGACAGGGGAGCCTGACGTGCTGTGGTCCATGGGATCGCAAAGAGTTGGACACAATTTAGTGACTGAACAACAATCTGACTGGGACTCTTCCAATATATTTTAAATAGACTGTGGTTTCCCATGGTAAATCATTCTTCAAAATTAACTATGTTGAAATAACCACAAGACAAGGTGCTATTTCACTAGAACAGGAATTTAGGGTCACATCAGTTCTAGTAGACTACAGGCCCTGACAGACAATTTTGATAAGTCACTAAACAAATTAAACTTTGCATGGTGGTAATAGTTGTGTTGTGGAGAAGATTCAGTTAGTCTGGAGTCCTTTCTCTATTTTATAGAAACATAACTCTGAGGGGGGGGGGGGGGAAGCAGCTGGCACATAAAACTGAGCAGTTCTTGGAAAAACTTCAAACTACTGATTTTAAAATACTAGATTTCAAAAAACAATTCTGCCCATTTTGAAGCTACGCTGACAAACCTGAGATTTGTGCTTCTACAGTTCTCATTCGTGTTGTATGATACTTTGATTGGTTTATTGGAGGTGGGATCTTGGTGCTGAAGTCTTTCAAACTCTCTCAGCAGATTTTAGATGATTATAATTATTTTCAAATGGACACACGGATCTCAAAGATTACAGTGATGGTACTTTATTTTAAATGGGTCTATTTGGTCAGCAGAGATCCATGCCTGCATATTCAGATTCTTCTGGAAGATATGCTGCTTTTAAACATCCCTCTCATAGTGATGCCTTATATTTCTTCATCTCTTTCATATTCTCTCTTATCCAAATGGAACAAATAAGCTGCTAAGACACTATCAGTTTTTAATTCTGTAAAGCTATTAACTGAATACTGCTGATCTTAGTTCTGCTGTAGTTCGTCTAGCTGGAAAGAATTTTTACTGTCAGCAAGGTCCCATCATGTTTCAAAGAGATGCTATGATTTTCTTTCTTTTCCATCTGCTGAGCTGATGTATTTCCTCTTGCTTGCCTTCAAGCTTTTTTGTGCAGCAGCTTTAAGCTGCTTGTCTCTTGAGCAGAAATGACTGGGAATAAAGCTGGTTTAAGACATGTCTGTTAAAATTTCATTTTCAGCTTTGATAACAATGCTAGCCAAATATCCTGTCTGAAGAGTAGCTACGTGCTCCTCATTAACTATTTCCATTATTTTTTTTACCCTCCCACCTACATGCTTGGGAAAGCAACCTAGATCTCTTTTGTTTCTGTTTTTCAAAAACAGAATTACCTTAAGGTAAGATGGATGGCCAATACATTTTACAAATAAAATAAATAAATGGCCCAATGTTTCATCAGTCCACCAGTCCACTGTTCACAACACAGTCCTTTCAGCAGTTCCAAGATGGTTCCACATTCATTTGCACTATTCAGGTGACCCTGAGGGCACACATAGACCTCCAAATGGCCTCAATGACTCTCACAGAGAATGCTAACTACCAGACGATTTCAAGGAATAGACTTCCTTCCATTCGCCACCATTCAGTCAGAACTAAAGAATCTTCTTGGATGAGAAGCGAAATACGTATCTTCAAGCAAAAAAAACAAAGTCTAGTTGCCTTTTGGAAAAGCACCTTTGGGACAACCATGACCTGGATCATTAAGAATCTCCATAGACAGTCACCATTCATTTGTTCTCTTTGAACAGCTGTGGCTCACACTCTAATAGCTGAATATGTGGATAGGAACAAAGAATTGATGGTTATTGGTGATACAGAAGGAGTGCCTGGCTTACCAAGCATATAAAAATCAGGCCTCATGTTCCTCTTCTTGGGTATAGATATTGCCCAAAGGGGCTTGGAGGGCAGCAAATAGTAACAAAAAAGGATGAGAGAGGCTGGCAGCTCCATACAGCAACCAGTAGATTTACAGAAGTTGCTTAGAATGAATTAAAGAACAGCAAGTAATGGCAGTGTGAGTTGGAAAACACCACTTTGGAAGAAGATAGGGAAAGCATGCCTGTGACCTGTTCCTGTAATAATATTGGGACAAATGGAACCATCCATTCAAGATCTCTCAATAGGATTTATGAAGCATCACCCACCTTCAGAAGACTCCTAGGTCTATGGTAAGCCCATCCATTTCCTCTCAAATCATCAGTTTGCCATTCTGATCACAAAATGCAATTCAAGATTAGCATGCTTTGTAATAAGGCTGCATGCCATTGTTCTAAGGTTTTCTGTTTCCATTCTGACAAAATTCTACAACTTGATTAAGCCTTCTCTGAAACATTCGCCAGGGAGATCATGGGTTACCTTTGCAATGTATAACTACGTTTGGCTGTCAGTGAAGATATGTAGACATGTCCATGCCTGGTACCTATGTTTAATTACCACTTTACCATTAATTAATATGGGAAGGAGGTTACATTCAAGGACATACAGTTCACAAACACGTCAGCTGCATGCTTACTATGCAAATTGTTCAGGGCCATAAAAAAAGACTCACTCACTGCTTAATTCTAATGGCTTCAGTTATATTTCCACTTAACTCTGCTTCCTGCTATAAACAGCATTAAGTTTGATTTCCAGGTCTTTGCAAGCTGAACCAACAAACATGACAAACATTTCTCAATGTCAACACTGAGAATCCAAAGTTTCTTCTGAGGATTTATGTACATTTATGTTCACTTTATAATTTACTCATAGTCTACAAGAGAGAGAGAGAGAAGCCAAAAATAAAAGAACATGAAGAACAAATCAAGGAGCTTTCATCACATAATTTTATATCAAATACTGGTGAAATGATCATAATTAAGTAGCAGATGTTTTCTATGGACAAAGTCTCAGCTTCAGTTTCTAGCTCCTTCAATTGAAAAGATCAAATAGCAGGTAATAGGAAATGCCTCCATCTGAGACTAGAGGCCAGTCAGTATATGGAATTAGATATACAAATAATCCGAACTGCCAGGAAGAATTTGGGGGAAAATATTCACAAATACAATCATCCTAATGTGCACTTGATTTAATGTGATTCCATTATTTAAAATAATATTGTTAGATTAGAGATGAAAATAAATTTGATTTCTTTATACTAAATAAGAACCAATGACAAGCTCAGTGTACAAAAGGGAGCCTGCAGTGTGCCATGCCTCTCTTTTAGTAAACTCTCTTCATGATATATATGAAGAATTATAACTTGCCATGAGAAAAACAATTAGTTTTCTGTGAGTAGGTGTACAAAATGTATACCCTAGGCCAGGGGTGTCAAACTCAAGGCCTGAGGGCTGGATCTGGCCCATGGGGCTGCCCTGGAAACAGCAAAGGACTGACCTGGGGTGCCTCTGACAGCAAAAACAGAGCTTAAGGGGGGAGGTCACACACAGCCCTCCTGAATGCCTTCTTTGCTGGCAGAGGGTTTCAGGATGCTTTTGCAGCCAAAAATGGAGCTCGGGAGTCCATTTTCGCTGGCAGAGCACTCGGGCCATGCTCACCCTGGCCATGCCTCCCTGCCCCCCCCCAAGTCAAACACAACCCTGATGCAGCCCACAATGAAATCGAGTTTGATACCCCTGCCCTAGGCTATCATAATAGAGAAATTTGGAGCAAAGAAAGCCAACATTTGTTAATTATCTCTGTGTTTAATAAACCATTTTGTTTGCTTTTGATGCATATTTCAGTTTCCAATGGGCTCAGGCAATATTTTTTTTTATGTAAACGATGATGACGGAATTATTTATGTGCTTTTCAGGACAGGTTTTGGCACACATATTTTTCACTCAGAGTGAAGCATAGCCACAGATCCATGCAGGAATGACATATAGTTATGACTGCAGCAAATTACAACAATCATTAAGTGAAGGAGGGCATTAGTACAGAGTGAACTATGTCTAGAACAATGCATTTTAATATGATGTTAGGTCATTTCTATATTTTTATTTAAATGTATACCACTTTTCTTGCCACTGTTCATAGTTTCTCCTTCCACTTAGCAATAGCAATAGCAATAGCAGTAGACTTATATACCGCTTCATAGGGCTTTCAGCCCTCTCTAAGCGGTTTACAGAGAGTCAGCATATTGCCCCCAACAATCTGGGTCCTCTTAAAATCTAAATTTTCTTAATCTCATAAAAATGATGACAAATTTCAGAGATTTTTCCCCCTAATCTTTAAAAAATGGAAGGGTTTTCAAAGATCATCCAGCCCTATTCCCTGTGAAATGCAGAATATATAATGCAGGATGCATTAGCTAATGCTTAATGTCAAAGAAGAGGGTAATTCCTCATGACACAATATTTCCCATTGCTTAACAGTTTTTGCTATTAGGAAGTTTCTGCTAATGTTTAGGAAAAGTCAGTTTGTATCTACTACTGCTTCTAGGTTTGCCTTTGGTACTAATAGGAAGACTAAGCATGCCAGATAGACAACTCTTCTACTTCTTTCCTTTTAACATTTCTCATCTATAGATTAACATGCACCACTTTTCAATTGCTTATCATATCATAAATCTGCTTTCAACTCCATATGTTCGGTTATTTAGTAAATATTAAGTCTTTTTTCCTATCTTAATCAAGCACTGTACTATCTTATATCTTTCCTCAAGCCACCATTTACATTACTTTGGAGACTTAAAAATTTCCAAATCTAAAGGGGGATTTACTGAGAGGAACAGAACAAAAAAGGATCCTACTGGCTCAGATTGGTTCGCTTGAACCAGTAGCAGAAATCATGGGTGGCCCTGCCCATCTGCCCTGGCTCCACGGTATCCCATTTAGGCTTTTTTCACCAAAAGCACATGCACAGAAGGCTGTGCACATGTGCAGAGGTGGCACGTGCACTCACATTTGCAAACCAAGGTAAGTGAATACCATTCCTGATCCTATCCAAAAGTGGTAGGATATGAAGCAAGGAGGATGAACTTGCCTTTTTCAGAATTAGTTGATATTGAGAAAGGGAGACTAAAGGATTTCAAAGAAGATGTACTCAGGCATCTGAGTAAACATTGATATTTACAATATGTTGGAATTTCAGATCAGTTCTGTAATAAATTTCTCCACCATGAATGTGTCAACAAGATGAAGCCCAGTTATTTTTTTTTTTTTAGAACTTCAGGTATAACTATCATTATCAGGTTTTTAATGGACGCCATATTTTTCTCCTTCTAACAGCTATGACCATCTGGTTGCCCAGGTTACAATTTAGGTAATACTTGTAATTTTTTTCTGAGTGTATACATACATTGCATTAGAATTCAGGCCAAACACTTATGCTTCTCCTTAGGTCTCCTTTACTTACTTTTAGCTATTAGAGGAAATGGTGGTTCTGAAGCAAGAAGGATAAATTAAAACGTGTCAAAATGTCTTTCAGTTTAGGGAGTAGAAACTAGCTCCACTTAAGTTCCAGATTCTTTTAAATGAATTAATCATTGACCTTTAGCATTCATGGATTTTATAATATAAATTTTAAAATGTGATCATTCAACACATTATCACTGAATATGTAAAATCTGAACCTTCATAAAAGCAGTGAGAATGTTGTTACCGAATTAGATCCAGCAATGCATCTGCAGAACTCATTATTGGCTTCGCACCTTCTTCGGTGTCTTCCTTCTGGGCTGCCCCACCAGGATGGATAATAGAGACCATAATGATTCCCACAATCACAGCCACAAATGTAGTCCACAGGTAGTAAGTAACTGTAATGATGCCTAATCGACTAGATGTTTTAGCATCCAGAGCTGCTAGTCCTGACATCAGGCTGTTGAAAGAAAACACAAAATATGTATTATTTTTTTCCTCCTCCTTCCTTTTTTCCTTCCTATTCAGTTAGGTCTATTACTATATTCATGGAAGGGAAACCAAATTTCAATCTAACCTTTCTTTGAACAAAGATGATTAAAGGAAGACTTGCATTAGTCTTCTTTTGCAGGAGACTATAGGAAGGAGCTGACCTGGAAAGAGTTAGCAGAAAGCACATGTACCAGCTATGTGGTAAATCCATACTTTGTATTCAGCTTTCAAGGTTTAGGTTAAATTAAAATAGAGGAACCACATTGACTCATTCTAAAGTTTGACACATTGAGCAAGTATGTTCTCTAATTTGCTTTAAAATAGAGAACATCACATTTTTAGCCTCAGTGAAAGCTGCATACAAAGAGAAAGCTGCATTAATGAATCTAGCTATATCATGATATCAGAAAGAAGTCACTAAACTTTAATGATCTTTAGTTCCAACAGGCAGCACCACAATCCAGAAATTAATTTAAAAAATGTCTACAGCAATCAAAACATGCATATAAATGGCAAACCATAAATAATTTGAAGCATTTTAATTGTGTAAACCATTTATTCTGGTACAGAATTATTATTTAATGAACAAATGTCTTAATCTCTTCCAATCCCACTCCAACATTTTCTTCATTTTGTTTTTTTCATTATTAGATAAGCAAACAAAATGGGCTGATATGTATGGGGCCAAACAACATATTCTCCATGTATAGTACAGATTATACCACACCTAAGAAAAAATAGCTTTTGCAACCATTAAGTTCCTCTAAGACCTGATCCTGCTACCAAATGAAAAAGCACTTTGTAGCTATTTCATCTGCTTGACCTTTGTAAAAAAATTAAGGTGTCATGGGACAGTCACATATGAAAGAGAATGATACTGTAACATTAGATGAATGACTAATTGCTTATAAATTGCTAAAAGCACTATTCACATTATGTATGCTTTTTTTTGGTGGGGGAGGCATAGCTATATTTTTTTCAGATTTGGAAAGTCACAAGAATGCACATCAGTCCAATATGATTATGCAGTTTTACAATATGTACAAACTGAGATTAAAATGATTGGGATGCTGAATTTTATAAAATAAATGTTGGATTTTAAATTTAAGGACTCTAAGTTAGGCTGATTTAGAGCCATGGCTATACCAAATAAAATCCTTAGACAGAATAAAACAGGGTCTTCTGTTAAGTACAGAAAAGTTCTAGGCCAAGGGTCCCCAACCCCCAGTCCATGGACTGGCACCAGACCTCAGTATGCCAGAAACCGGGCCACACAACTAAGTGAAGCCCATCCATGGGATGCAGAAAACACACAAAACCATGCCTCCACTGGTCTGCAGAAAACTTCCACAGAACTGGTCCCTGGTGCCCAAAAGGTTGGGGGCCACTGATCAAGGGTATTTATCTTCCCATAGAAATGGCAACAACACTCTTAGATGTTTCTAAGTATAGTTTTCCAGTGAGGCATCTAGCTATCAATAGACAACTAAGTTGTCCATCAGGATTTGTAAAGCTTTCAACTCACCTTATTAACAATAGCCAAACTAACAATTATTAATGGTTCCTTTTTTTATAATGTAGTGACTATCATTTATTGAATTCATGTTGAAGTATTTATCCTCCAGCATAAAATAATGAAAATCGTGTCCAGAAAATAAATAAATAAATATACATACATACACGCACACGCACGCACACATATATTGTACATACACACATATTGTACATACACACATATTGTACATACATACACACATGTGGGTGTGTATGTACAATATGTATGTGATATATCAATTTCAATATTCCAGGTTTTGCTTGCAGATCAAAGTAAAAATATATATGTGAGATTTTGTTATATTTAGTTTCATTGTATATTAACATATGTCCTCTTTTCTAGAATCTTTATTAATATTAGATAATAAAAATTATCCATGATTATAGTTACAACATAATTTCTCAGATGTTGAGAATACTAAAGTACTCTTTCAAGTAATGAGAAAATAATAGTTGATCCCTAAGAGAAGACAATGCTCAAATGGTAATAAAAAACCATGTTTTTTGCTAAATGTAATGCAAAGTAGCAGATTTACTGTTAAAAAAAACAGGCAAAGGGAAGAAATCAAAAAGCTTCTTTTAAAGGGAAGTTGAGTTGGAAAGACTGAATGTTCCTAAAACAGATACATTAATCATAATTATTGAAAAAATGCAATTTAGGTCATTTCAATTGAGGACATAAATCCTATCTATGTTATAATCTAACCTTCCAATTTAAAGGGTTGGAGGGGAGAGGGAGAACAAAATAAGATTCAATGTAAAATTTAATTTAAGCAAAAAGTTAAATAAAAAGATAATCAAACTTGAGTAATTTGGAAAATAATTATAGACTATCATGGAAAAGTAGTTATCAGCATTCCACCACCTCAAACTACAGATAGACCTCAATTTACAACCATTCTTTTAGTGATCAAAATTATAATGACATTGAAAAAAAATGACTTATGACCATTTTTTACATTGCAACATCCCCATGGTCACATAACGAAATTTGTATGTTTAGCAACTAGACTGTATTTAAGACAGCTGCAATGTTCTGGGATCATGTGATCAGTTTTTCTGACCTTCTGACAAGCAATTTCAATAGGGACGCCCGATTCAATCAACAAATGTGTTATTAACTGAACAACGACAGTGATGCACTTAACAATTGTGGCAAAAAAGGTTGTAAAATGGAGCAAAGCTCACTTAACAACTACCTTGCTTAGCAATGGAAATTTTGAGCTCAGTTGTGGTCATAAGTCAAGGACTACTCATAGTAATCTTCAGATGTAAATTCTACAAGAATTCCAAGACAAATTAACCTTTATTTGGTATTAAAAAGTAACAATTTCTATTTGTTTCTTCACAATTCCACACACACCACTTCTAACCCATTTAGAGCCTTTTCTACTGAACCTCTTGTTCTAAAACTAGTTCAAAATCTGATAATGCAGGTTCCTTCTGCTAAGTCCTCTTCCTGTATTTATTTCATGTTTATTATTATAAACCACATTTCATATTTTCAACTTCCTTTGCAAATTAGATAGTCCTACACTTCCAAAGATATAGTGTATAGTTCAGATGTGGCTACTAGCACTGCACAAGGCAAATTGTTTCCTTTGTTAAGTTAAACTATGGAATTTACTGGCATCTGAAGTGGTAATCTGTCTCATTGTAAATCGATTTAAGAGAGGATTAGACAAATTCAGGGAAGGATTAGAAAAATTCATCTGTCCTCTGGAACATCTTGCCCCTCTGACCATCCTGACCTTTTGTAAGGGTCTAAAGACCTGGCTCTGCCAGTTGGCTTGGGCCTTCAATGAGGGAACATCATAGTGAAGGTGATAGATTGACTAACAACAGATTCCACCTCATCCTCATCCTGCCCCGCAGGATGATTGTAAGCCACCCAGAGTTACCCTGTGGTAAAATGGACCATAAACCCAATCAGACTTCTGAGTGCATGCGTTAAAATAAGCCCTCCTCCAAAAATATTGCAACACAACAGCAGCCATGAGGCAACCACACTCACCGCCTCCTGCATCTCAAAAATAATAAGACCTCCCCCCAAATAAGGCCAAGCGCTTATTTGGGGGTCAAAAGAAAATAAGACCCTTTCTTATTTTCAGGGAACTACAGTAGAATAGAATAGAGTTGGAAGGGACCTTGGAGGTCTTCTAATCCAACCCCCTCAAAGGTCGTATTCAGCCGTTTCAAACAAATTCAGGTGAACCGGTTGCGGAAATTTTGAGCAGTTCAGAGAACTGACAAATACCACTTCTGGTTGGCTCCTCCCTCCCACCCCCATCGTTCCCTGTCCTATATTCAGTTGTTTTTTAGCTCTGCTGATTCATGTGACAGAGCAGATTGCCGCGCCTCAGCTGAGATAAAAAACAGCTCAACTCACCAGTGCTGACACCAAGGGTGGTCTTTGTGTGCTGTGCATGCGCGCAAAGCACGTGTTAGGTGAAGCACACTCTTATAGAACCGGTAGGAAAAGATTTGGAATCCCACCACTGAACCCCCTGCTTAGGTAGGAAACCATACACCACTTCAGGCAAATGGTTAGCCAATCTCTTCTTAAAAACTTCCAGTGTTGGAGCATTCACAACCTATGGAGGAAAATTGTTCCACTAATTAATTATTCTAACGGTCAGGAAATTTCTCCTTAGTTCTAAATTGCTTCTTTCCTTGGGCAAAATTTACAAAAAATACTTCTTACAGTGCCTAGTGTTGTCTGTGCTTCTTACACAGACAACACTAGCATAAAGAAGAAATGATCTACATTAAACTCTGGAAGTCAAGTAGAAGCTATTGCCTCATAGCTTTCCTTTTGTTTCAAGTTTTTATTGAAAAGAAGTGGAGCTGAACCCACAGGAGATTTCATAAAGGTAAGTTCAACACTTTCAGCATGTTAGCTAGCAAGAAGTTATTAAAATGGTGATAATATGCCTGTCTATGCCATAAGGCTAAATGAGGCATCTGGAACTTGACAGATGATAATATATTCCAAATGTCAGTTTGAACCATTTTCCAGAGCAGCCATCATTAAGACAACTTAATACAGTTGTCTTCAACAGTTCCATTATTTATGAATAGTGGCAAGGAAACTAGCTAAAAGATTCACAAATCTGATATGTACATGGAATTTAGGTTTATCTGAATTCATCTGTGGTGATAGCTTTCTGCTTAATTCATTGTCTCAATTTCTGAATGGTGGAAGCCTCAAATGTAATAACTCTGGAAAAGGGAAACATAAGGAGCTGACCATAAACCGATTCAGCTCATGCCTCTCCAGCTTGTTCTGTTCCATCCCCCACCAGGAGCCATCTGGATATTGCTTTGAAATGGATGGATTATAGATGGACCTATCAGAGGGGATTAGAGTGATTAGAAAGACACTAATCCTGTCAAGAAGTAATGGTCAAGCAT